GGTTGTGGGGGGGCCCCCCCTTGGGTTTGTGTCACCGGCTGCCCGTTGCCCAGGCAACGCGTGATTGATGATGTCAGAGATAAATGACGCTGAGGAGGCCTCCTGGCGTCTGCGTGCCAGTTGTCATGGTGCCCGGCTGTGTCCCCCCCCCCATGCCCCCCCCTCACACAGCACGGCATCGCCGGGGGTGGGTGATGGGGGGGGGGGTGATGGTGGCTGCTGGGGCGCAGCTGCCTCCCCGAGTTCTGCCCCATCTGCCTGCCCCTGGGGGGGATGTGACCCCCCCAGAGGAGGTGAGCATCTTTGGGGGGGGGTGTTCAGCATCCCAGGGGCTGCAGCTCGCCCTGCACCTAAGGGGGGGGTCCCACGGAGGCTGATCCCTGTGGGTGCAGGACTGGGGATGCTCCAGGCTGTTTCCCCCCCGACAATGTCACCGCACACCCCCACCATGAGCGTGGTGGCTCAGCTGCCATTTTCTCTCCCGGCTGTTTTTCTCCGCTCTGTGGGTTTTGCAGAGCAGAGCTGAGCACCCTCCCCATGGCCGGGGGTGTGCCCCCCCCTCCCCACATCCTGTGTCACCCCCAATTGCCCCCTAACGACTTGGGGGCTTATTGAAAGGCCAGTTGTGTGGGGCTGGTGTCCCTGTGGCTGTTTGTCACCGGGGTCCTCATCCTGCCCTGGGGGCACAGCATGATGGGGCTGACCCCCCCCGCCCAGCCCCATCCAGGGGGTGGGTGACAGTGGGGCTGGGTGACACTGACCCTGCCACCCCACAGCCGTCCGTAATGACCGGAACAAGAAGAAGAAGGACGTGCCCAAGGCGGAGTGCTCGGAGAGCTACATCATCACCCCCGAGGTGGAGGAGCTCATCGAGAAGGTGCGCAAAGCCCACCAGGAGACCTTCCCCGCCCTCTGCCAGCTCGGCAAATACACTACGGTGAGTGTCAGGGGGTCCTGGAGGTGGGGGTAGAACTGGGGGTGCACGGCTGTCCCCGTGTCCTCACCCCCCATGTCCTCACCCCCTGTGTCCTCACCCCCCGCCTCCCGCTGCAGAACAACAGCTCGGAGCAGCGGGTCTCCCTGGACATCGACCTGTGGGACAAGTTCAGCGAGTTGTCCACCAAGTGCATCATCAAGACGGTGGAGTTTGCCAAGCAGCTCCCCGGCTTCACCACCCTCACCATCGCCGACCAGATCACCCTCCTCAAAGCCGCCTGCCTCGACATCCTGGTGAGAGAGCGGGGACCGGGGACGGGGACAAGGACGGGGAGGGGACACCGGGCTGAGCTCCCCAACCCCCCTCCAACCCTGTCCTTGCCTCCCCACCCCAGATCCTGCGGATCTGCACGCGCTACACGCCGGAGCAGGACACCATGACCTTCTCGGACGGGCTGACGCTGAACCGCACGCAGATGCACAACGCCGGCTTCGGGCCCCTCACCGACCTGGTCTTCGCCTTCGCCAACCAACTGCTGCCGTTGGAGATGGACGACGCCGAGACGGGGCTGCTCAGTGCCATCTGCCTCATCTGCGGAGGTGGGTGCTGGGGGGGGACCCCCGCCTGTCCTCTCCAAAGCTCTGACCAACAAGAACCCAAATAGTGCCCTTTTCCGTGGCACGGCCACCCCTGGGACCCAGTACAGGAGAGGGTTCTTCACTGTGAGGGTGGTGGAGCACTGGACCAGGTTGCCCAGGGAGGTGGTTGAGGCCCCTTCCCTGGAGATATTCAAGGAGAGGCTCGATGGGGCAACCTGGTCTAGTTGGGGGTGTCCCTGCTGACTGCAGGGGGGTCGGACTAGATGGCCTTTGGAGGTCCCTTCCGGCCTGGACCATTATATGATTCTATGATACAGAGATTTGGGTCATATTCGTGCTGGTGGGGGGATGAGGGGGATGACGGGATGTGGGCTGCCCCCCTGTAACCACTCTGTGTGTGTGTCCCCCCCCCAGACCGCCAGGACCTGGAGCAGCCCGACAAAGTGGACAAGCTGCAGGAGCCGCTGCTGGAAGCGCTGAAGATCTACGTGAGGAAGAGGAGGCCCAACAAGCCCCACATGTTCCCCAAGATGCTGATGAAGATCACGGATCTCCGCAGCATCAGCGCCAAGGGTGAGCGCTGGGGGGAGGGGGTGCCGTGTCCCTTTTGGGGGGGGGCATCCTGGGGGAGCATCCCTGGGGCTCGGCATCGGTCCAGGTGGGAGGGGACACCCACAGCATCCTCTGGGGACACTGGGGACATGGCCCTTGTCTTTGGCATCCAGGGAGGAGCAGAGCCAGGGGTGCCGGTTTGGGGGTGCCGGTTTGGGGGTGCCAGTTTGGGGGTGC